ATACCAGAGAATAGAAAGACATGATGTCATATCATCAGGTTAAGCACTTTGATCTTACTTTCAGTAAAAGCGAGTAGTGTTCAAAACGTTATAATTTAGTATCGTTTTCCTTTGACCTGTTTTTGATAAACCATTTTATTTCTTTACTTTTTTGTAATTATTTGGATCGTGCGTTATGTGTTTTATTTTTTTTGGTATTCCGTTGGGCGAGACAAAAATGCACAGGAAATTATTTGCAAAAAAATTGAAAGTAGTTCGTCCATTGATAATGAAATTATATCACTTCAAGCTATACAATTAAACATTCGCCAATAACAATCTAAAATCTAAACAACTAAAAATGTGAACTTTGACATTTAAAGTAAGGAATTAAAAACCTAACTTAACGCCTTTCATTATCCGAATATTAGATAGATTTTAGATTCTGCGAAATAGACAACCAATATTTCAAAGTGCATGCAATTATGGTTTTAAAGGATTAGACCTGAAATATAATTGTATAAGACTATTGCCAACAATCAGTAGTGTCCATTTCTACATAATAATCAAATAAGAGCATTAAAAATAATCTGAAAAGTGATGATATTCGAAAAGTCCATCGAAAACAAAATTAATTCCGATTAGCAACGATTATATACCAGCTATCAATTAAAGTTAACAATTTTATGCTTCAAGGTTAGGATTGACGTTAATGTAAGAGTGGTATACTAAATTATACAGAGGGAGTTTTAATAGCTCGAACGCTTAAGCAAGCTAAAAACCTAATGAAAGAAATCAGATAATTTCACTTAAAGGGTACCAATATTAAAAATGCAAATAAGCTAAAAGAATATTAGCAGCAAGTTTCAGGCAAATCAAAATTATCTGTTATAACATATTCGTCAATAATTGTAACTGCAAATATGCATTTAGATACTAATTTCTGGCAATCAAATTACGATATAAAAACAGTCATATTTTGTACTCAGTTTATTAGCAAGTATAAAATGACAAAATTGCATTTGATCATAACTATTTGTTTTGTGTCAACGGCTCTCTAGGTGAACAAGGAACCTGTTGCAAGCCCAGTGGGTTTTTTTTCAAATACATTAATCACTGGATAAATATCCAATAGAAAACATCCTGGATATTACAGAATTAAAGGAGGTTTATAAGATAAGAAAAAACCTCATTAAAGATACAAAGTTTTTAATTTTATAAACTAGGCGCGAGTTCCGTTTACAAAAGTCTCACCAGTGATGCTCGAATCAAACAAGTTAAAAGACCAAGGAAAGTACGAAGTTGAAGAGCCTTAATGACTAAAATTTCCGAAAGGTTTTGCCAAATTCATCTAGGTAATCTATCCCTGGGGTAGAAAATCTTTAGTATTTTGAACAATTCAAAGTTCGGTTAACAGTTAATTTATAAATATGACCAGATCAATGATATTTCTGGATAACACAGGAGTGCTGACTACTGGGCTGTTGATACTCTCGGGATGGAAATACCACCAGCAGTGCCATCGACCCATTGGCTGTAAAATTAACTTATCAAATATATTATGATTATATTTGTATAGGCAAAAGGCGCGTTTTGTCTACAAAAGATTCATTAGTCTAATAAAAAAAGTTAAAAGGCTAAATAAAATACGAAGTTGAACAGCATTGAGGAGTAACGTGGATGGGACAACACGCAATCCAGTCTAACCAGATAGAGCACTCAATTAAGTGATTTGAGAATTGCAAAAAAAAAACATCCAATTAAATACAATATTACATAAAATCACATTTCAAAGCCCCAACAGTTACTTAAGCAAGTTTAAAGTACGTCATCCATTGATAATGAAATATTATCAACTTAAACTATAATATTAAACTTTCTCCAAGAAAAACGAAAATCTAAACGAATAAACAGACTTTAACATTTGACTTTTAGAAAAGAAGTTGAAGACCTAACATAAAATCTTTATTACTCAAGTGCAAGATGGATTTAAAATCTGAGAAATAGACAATCAATATCGATAAGAGTATGCAATTACGTTTTGAATCATGAGAAAGAACAATATGTTTTCTAGTATAAGACAATAGCCAACAATATATAGTAACAATCTGATGTTATCCCTACAAAATAATCTAATAAGAGCATTAAAAATTTAATGAAAAGTGTTGATATTTCAAAATTCCATAGATAATAAGAATAACATCATCCGATTAGGAAAGATCATTTACCAAGCAATCAATAGTTATCATGTGTATGCTTCAAGGTTGGTTAGGCTTCATGGTAATGTTAACGTGGTATACTAAATAAAACGAATGAACTTTTTATACTAAGTTTACGATCATTTTTTTTATCATGATACAATGGCATAACAGAAATAGGGCAATTTTAATACCAAGGTATTATTCTGTTATGAATCGTAATTATGCCCCACCTACGATAGTAGAGGGGCATTATGTTTTTCGGTCTGTGCGTCCGTTCGTTCGTCCGTCCGTCCGTCCGTCCGTTCGTCCGTCCGTCTGTCCCGCTTCAGGTTAAAGTTTTTGGTCAAGGTAGTTTTTGATGAAGTTGAAGTCCAATCAACTTGACACTTAGTACACATGTTCCCTATGATATGATCTTTTTAATTTTAATGCCAAATTAGTGTTTTGACCCCAATTTCACGGTCCACTGAACATAGAAAATGATATTGCGAGTGGGGCATCCGTGTACTATGGACACATTCTTGTTTTATTATGATACAATGTCATTACAGAAATCAGGCAGTTTTAATATCAAGATATACTACTGTTATGAATCGTAAATTTGTTTTAACGTGTTAATAAGAAACGTCTTATATATATTGTGAGATTATTGTTGCAATGATGTTTTAACTCTAATTATCTGTGGAAATCATTAGTTTTCAAGCTTTTGCTTTGTCATGAAGTTCTGTATAATGTATCCGATTTTATAGAGGTTATACACGTTTAGCATATGTAAGTTTTAATTTATCAGGTTCCTTATACCAAGCAGTTGGTGCATAGTTGGTGCATTGTAGGACAGATGAACAACACTATATATTGCATTCCTAAACTAAATAGAAATAACCGTCAAATATAGTTTCATCTCGGCTATTAGTGAATGTTCTACAAATTTATTGTCTGTCTGTTTATAATTCAAGAACCTATTATTGAATTTTGTAATAAAGCATATGCAAATAATGAAATCAACTTTTTAAGTGTAAATAAATCTTTGGTCGTTTTACATGTATTACGTGCTTTTATTTGTCTTTCAAATGGGTTCGCAGTTAATTTTCAACTCTCTTCATTGAACTTCCATCGACTTTTGATATCTTCTGCTTCTCTTTTTCCACAAAATCTGATCAAAGTAAGAAGTTATCTTGTAAGATAAAATGGTTCCTCTAAAAATCCTATTTCACATTTAATTGCAGCAACTCATATAAGCTTTCTTCTGTAATAAAAATTATGTAAATACTCAACATATACTCAGGCACCCATCATTTATCTCGTGTTGGGTATGTGCTATCTCAACTTTATTTTCAAGGTGGGCCTATTTCCTAACGTGTTCGCTATGCCATGTCGATAGTGACGTTACATAATTAGAATACCTACATATGTATAACTGGTAAATCCTTAAACGCCGAACTGAATAATCAGAAAGTCCAAAAACAGCGACGTATACATAGTGCAGCACAATTTCTAAATTAGTCTTTTTGATTTGCATCGTCTGTTGATGTCTTCTTGGTTCCAATAAAAATTGAGAATGGAAATGGGGAATGTATCAAAGAGACAACAACCCGACCAAAGAGCAGAAAACAGCCGAAGGCCACCAATGGGTCTTCAACACAGCGAGAAAGTCCCGTGCTGGCCCCTAAACAAAAAATGTGTACTAGTTCAATGAAAATGGACGTCACACTAAACTCCAAAACATATATAAATGAACTAAAATTAAAAAAACATACAAGACTAACAAAGGCCAAAGGCTCCTGACTTGGGACAGGCGCAAAAATGCTTCCAATAGACCGATGTGAGTTCGATAACTTTTATCCGTTATATTAGTTACTTCGATTCGGTATTCGAAAATGAATATAACATTTTATGAATTTTAAACGTCCGAGGCGCTTTGCTGGAATAACCAGTACTCGACATAATAAACATAATATAACAATGTACTAGTAGTTTTAAAATGAATATAACACTTTATGAATTTTAAACGTCCGAAGCGCTTTGCTGGAATAACCAGTACTTGACATAATAAACATATTATAACAATATACTAGTAGTTTTAAAATGATTATAACACTTTATGAATTTTAAACGTCCGAAGCGCTTTGCTGGAATAACCAGTACTCGACATAATAAACATAATGTAACAATATACTAGTACTTTTTTTAACAAAACTACATCATGTAATGAAACAACTACATTACGTTAAGTCACATACACATCAAGTAATATTAAAACCACATTGCCTAATGACACAACCACATTAAATAATGGTGAAACCACATCGAGTAATGACAAAACCATATTAAGTAATGACAAAACTATATCAAGTCAATACGAAACCATATCGTGTAATATCGTAATATCATTAAGTAATGACTATTCCATATTGAGTTATATCAAAACATCATTACGTAATGTCAAAACCATATTATGTAAAGACAAAATATCATCAAGTAATAATGAAACAACATAACGTAATATCAGAGTTCCACATAAGACAGCTGTGGCGTTCCATAATTTAAGTATTTACTTTCTTAAATAAGCATATTTGATATCTTATTCAACAGACGATTATTGATATCTGATATAATTAGATGATGGTACACGATTTAATCTGTCATTTTCCACGTGAATGATAGACTACTTAATGGTATTAGTGCATTTATAAATTTAATAGTAAATGCTGTGGCACACTTCTTAATTGTATGTAGGTCGAAGTTAAGGTGAAAATGGATACTGTGCGTAAAACAAAGGAGTGTTAAAGTAATACTTTGTTTTTTTAAGAACATAGAATCATGACAGAAAAGAAAGATAGTGGATATTCATGGATGATTTTGATTGGTACGTTATTATTAGTATATATTAAAAAAGAGATGTGGTATGATTGCCAATGAGACAACTTTCCACCAAAAGACAATCTTATTAAAATTCAGATCTATCGTACATTGTAACTCGCTTACTCGTTTCTTCCGGGGTGATCTCAGGTGCTCTGGAAGGGTAAGCAGATCCTGCTCCACATGTGGCACTCGTTGTGATGCTGATGTAAGTACAAACCCGGTGATATGTCTAATTCGGTAGGTCACATTCGGGTAAAAGGGGACGGGATTGTAGTTAAGACAATTGGAACATATATAAGCATTATAAGCAATGCGCGAAATCACAGGTACATCGTAACTTAATTAGATTGACCAAAAAAACAAGAGGAAAAGGATATAAACAACTACATGTCAACGTACGGCCTTCATCAATCGACAGACACAAACTGATAGTAAGCTATAGAAAGGCACAGGATAACAAAATGTCAAACAATACAACATTGAAAGCTATAGATCTGATTTAGGCTTATGACATTTATCGAAAAACATCTATCACAGACGACAACCAACGACAACAACAACATTACAGGCTCCTTACTTTTGACCCACACATCAATAATGTAGTGGGCTAAACAAGTCTGTGAACAACCCTGCTCCTAACCTGAATGAGTGGTATTACAGCACAACCATAGAGCAAATTGCAAAAATCAGTTGGAAAGGGCTTGACTCACAAGATCGGCTCTATGCGCAAAACCAACAACCAGAGAGACAAAGACACAGACACTTGACAAAGCACGATATTTGGCAATGCCGAAATGTTTTTTTTTCAAAAGGAATAATAACCACAGTTATTGGAAATTATACAGCAAAACAAGTTTAATTGGGAATTGAAATATTGAACTGATAAAAATAATATTCAATGATCATTTTGCATTGTTAAATTGGCAACCCTTACGAAGACGCTTACCTGGATCGTATCTAAATTTACGAACAGCATCAGTAATCGTTAAATTGGATGTGATATCCTGTAAAATAATACGAGAAGAATTCAAATTGCAAATATACTCCGTAAGAAGGGAAGAAAAGGAAAATTATCAAAAAGGAAATCACCAAAAAAATCTTGGACATATTTTGGCTGTTTACTAAATGTTAACTCTCTATAAGAAAGGGTTGGCATTATAGTTCAACCTCATTTTCTCTCATGTTTATGTATCTAACAAATTTTTTTTTTATCTTTTAAAATGGACTTGACATTGAGGTCATGTACTCCCCTTATCGCACGTACTCCTTTACGGAATTGTCAATGTTGATTAAAGTCATATCAATAACAGAAAATATCCAGATGGTATGCATCATTATTGGTATGTTTGATTGATTGATTTTTTTTATGTTTAACGCCAACTTCAGTACTATTGGCAATATTATTACAGTCTGTTTTTATTGGTAGCCGAAGCTGGAGCTTCCGGAGAGAACCACCGATCTTCGATAGGAAAACTACCAATCATAGTCAATTAAGATTGGAGTCGAACACACCTGTCACGTTCGTGGGGTTCGACTCCACAACTTCAGTGTAGACAGGCTAGTGATACAGCAGATGCACTACTTATACCACTCGGTCACCCACAGAGTCCCCTGGTATATTTGAAAAGCAATTGACATTTGTAAGAATTGGAAGGGTAAATGGATGTTTAACGTCCAGTGGCAAATATAATGCTAACCAGGAACATAACATGTTAATGTAATGTGACTTTGAAAACTGCTATGTACTAGACCAACACACTGAGCCGGATTGTTGTCGTGCTAGTAGACAGTCCACAGGAAAATATGTCACCCTACCCGGACAAATTATTCGGACTCTGAGTCGACCAGTCCTAGTCCTAACTTCAGCGTGCTCAGTTGAAAAGGAGCAAATATTTAAGTATATGGTTTGAACTGTTCGGGGGATCGAGCCCAGGACCTCCCTCGGGTTGGTGAGCGTTTAATTATTATAGACAGAAATGTACCCTTGCGATTCAATTGGTGTTCTTTTAAACATAACCTTACTTTTTACATCCCTTCAAACTCTTTTCTGTTTAAGTAATTTTTTTATTCTCATTTTAGTGCAAACCTGGATTTCATTATCTAAAAATTAGGTACAAAACTTCCAATTCCTTCTAAACTTAACTTTGACCTGTTATTAAAACTAAACTCTCAATCAAAAGATGTATCATGTATAAATTTGCAAAATTGGCAGTATCACTGTCGTTTTTCATTAGTTTTGTGTCTTCTCTTCTGTTTTGTAATATGCCATACCGTTAGTATAATAGTCAGATTAAAATGGTTTCCTTTACTGTTACAAAATTTATTATATCTTCTATTTTGAACCTTTTATTAGTACAGTAAATCAAAATCGAGAGGATTGAGAAATTAAAAAAAAACAATTAGTCCCGCCACCTGCTCATGTATATACCTATCCAAAATCCGGAATATCATCAGTAATTGCCTTTTGCTTTATATTGAAGCGTTTGTCTTATGGAGATTTTAGTGTTGATTAGAGATCTTTTCTAATCTCGTTAAATTTTTCACACCGTTTTCACACTCGGAACGAACACTAACGTGTTACATCTAAATGTTTTGTTTAGTTATTAAAGTGGTTCGGTTGATTTCTCTTTGACGTTTACCAAATATCAAATTTATTTCATTTTGCCGAATCTAATGGGTAAAATGTAAAATAGTCAATTGACTAGTGTTTTATTTTGTTGTGTATCTATTTAAGATAAAATGGTTCCTCTAAAAATCCTATTTCACATTTAATTGCAGCAACTCATATAAGCTTTCTTCTGTAATAAAAATTATGTAAATACTCAACATATACTCAGGCACCAATCATTTATCTCGTGTTGGGTATGTGCACACATCAATAATGTAGTGGGCTAAACAAGTCTGTGAACAACCCTGCTCCTAACCTGAATGAGTGGTATTACAGCACAACCATAGAGCAAATTGCAAAAATCAGTTGGAAAGGGCTTGACTCACAAGATCGGCTCTATGCGCAAAACCAACAACCAGAGAGACAAAGACACAGACACTTGACAAAGCACGATATTTGGCAATGCCGAAATGTTTTTATTCAAAAGGAATAATAACCACAGTTATTGGAAATTATATGGCAAAACATGTTTAATTGGGAATTGAAATATTGAACTGATAAAAATAATATGCAATGATCATTTTGCATTGTTAAATTGGCAACCCTTACGAAGACGCTTACCTGGATCGTATCTAAATTTACGAACAGCATCAGTAATCGTTAAATTGGATGTGATATCCTGTAAAATAATACGAGAAGAATTCAAATTGCAAATATACTCCGTAAGAAGGGAAGAAAAGGAAAATTATCAAAAAGGAAATCACCAAAAAAATCTTGGACATATTTTGGCTGTTTACTAAATGTTAACTCTCTATAAGAAAGGGTTGGCATTATAGTTCAACCTCATTTTCTCTCATGTTTATGTATCTAACAAATTTTTTTTTTATCTTTTAAAATGGACTTGACATTGAGGTCATGTACTCCCCTTATCGCACGTACTCCTTTACGGAATTGTCAATGTTGATTAAAGTCATATCAATAACAGAAAATATCCAGATGGTATGCATCATTATTGGTATGTTTGATTGATTGATTTTTTTTATGTTTAACGCCAATTTCAGTACTATTGGCAATATTATTACAGTCTGTTTTTTTTTGGTAGCGGAAGCTGGATCTTCCGGAGAGAACCACCGATCTTCGATAGGAAAACTACCAATCATAGTCAATTAAGATTGGAGTCGAACACACCTGTCACGTTCGTGGGGTTCGACTCCACAACTTCAGTGTAGACAGGCTAGTGATACAGCAGATGCACTACTTATACCGCTCGGTCACCCACAGAGTCCCCTGGTATATTTGAAAAGCAATTGACATTTGTAAGAATTGGAAGGGTAAATGGATGTTTAATGTCCAGTGGCAAATATAATGCTAACCAGGAACATAACATGTTAATGTAATGTGAATTTGAAAACTGCTATGTACTAGACCAACACACTGAGCCGGATTGTTATCGTGCTAGTAGACAGTCCACATGAAAATATGTCACCCTACCCGGACAAATTATTCGGACTCTGAGTCGACCAGTCCTAGTCCTAACTTCAGCGTGCTCAGTTGAAAAGGAGCAAATATTTAAGTATATGGTTTGAACTGTTCGGGGGATCGAGCCCAGGACCTCCCTCGGGTTGGTGAGCGTTTAATTATTATAGACAGAAATGTACCCTTGCGATTCAATTGGTGTTCTTTTAAACATAACCTTACTTTTTACATCCCTTCAAACTCTTTTCTGTTTAAGTATTTTTTTATTCTCATTTTTGTGCAAACCTGGATTTCATTATCTAAAAATTAGGTACAAAACTTCCAATTCCTTCTAAACTTAACTTTGACCTGTTATTAAAACTTAACTCTCAATCAAAAGATGTATCATGTATAAATTTGCAAAATTGGCTGTATCACTGTCGTTTTTCATTAGTTTTGTGTCTTCTCTTCTGTTTTGTAATATGCCATACCGTTAGTATAATAGTCAGATTAAAATGGTTTCCTTTACTGTTACAAAATTTATTATATCTTCTATTTTGAACCTTTTATTAGTACAGTAAATCAAAATCGAGAGGATTGAGAAATTAAAAAAAACAATTAGTCCCGCCACCTGCTCATGTATATACCTATCCAAAATCCGGAATATCATCAGTAATTGCCTTTTGCTTTATATTGAAGCGTTTGTCTTATGGAGATTTTAGTGTTGATTAGAGATCTTTTCTAATCTCGTTAAATTTTTCACACCGTTTTCACACTCGGAACGAACACTAACGTGTTACATCTAAATGTTTTGTTTAGTTATTAAAGTGGTTCGGTTGATTTCTCTTTGACGTTTACCAAATATCAAATTTATTTCATTTTGCCGAATCTAATGGTTAAAATGTAAAATAGTCAATTGACTAGTGTTTTATTTTGTTGTGTATTTATTTAAACTAGCTTGTAACATTTTTGAACCATATAACTAGTTATTGATTGTGAATAAGTACAAATTAAATGTACAACACGAAGAAGGCCATCTTTTGTCTTTTTACTTTTATTGTTTTAGTATTTTATCTTTGACATTAAGTGGTTGCACCTTTGACCTTTTTTTTATATTTTGTAGTCTATTCCTGTAACCATTTTGAAACAATTGTTTTGTTAAACTAAATATTGCTTTTACACATCAGATTTGGCCACAGTAACTTAGCTTGAAGCAAAAGTAAACTAAACAAATATCTACATTAAACTTTGGCGTCAGTCTATAGTTTGAAAGTATTTTTTGTTTTTATATACATGTATTATGTTTAATTGAAGACTGGTTATGGATTGAGTTTTGCTATAAGCGAATTTTGCAACAGACTGATTGAACTGGTTTAAACTGAATCCGATGTACTGACAAAACTTTTACTTAAAATAATCAATGTATGAAATATCTTTATCTTTGTCAACAGAGGATGTATAAGAACCTCGGCTCGTTGCTAAATATCAATGACATGATCTAAAAATGAGACTTTCAATCATGCACAGAAATCTGGTTTATCCGACGTAAACGGCGATAGTGGGATAATCTTCTTTATATCGACCAAAATGACATCATCAGTATAAGAGACATGAAGATGACCAATACTAGACTAGAACTGCTCCGATTGACATACAGTTGGAGACATAAAAAGACAGCTCTAAATGCAGGTGCACAGAAAAATGGTGGGATGAGCATACATTGACAGTTTTTGCAGATTATCACTTAATTCAAGAAGTTGGAATGTATTGCAAATCTATAGATAAAATTCTAAAATTCCAAAATATAAAAATTTATCCCTGTCCGACTAATGTCTTATAAACATCTAAAGGATTTTTTTGTTGTTATTTGATAGATTTGATATAGTTTTCGATGGGCCGAGAAAGTAGCCTGATAATACCTTCTCCTTGGTATCTTAATTTACATCACCAAAATTGAATACGTATGCCATGCAAAGAACTCAACTTTTCGAGCACATACACTTAGTAATGAACATTATAATGTCGATAAACATCCTTGTTCTTTTGTTTTTGATGGATAGTCGCCTCATAAACAATTAAACTTGTACCACATCTCCTAATTCTTATATTAAAGTTGCTGATGTTTTGATTACAGGATCTAGTATTAATTATTTCATCTCAGTCGGCGTAATGAAGCTGTTTGGCATGCTTTATTCAGAGCTACTAGAAACATATGACAGCGCTGCAGGAAGTACTGCATTCATAAACAGTCTACAGATATTCATTATGGCAGCTGTCAGTAAGTTAATGTAGAAATGTTCAAAACTTCGACAATCACACACACAAGAACATATGGAAAGTTGAAAATATCCAAACAGTTAGTAGTGCATATTAATTCATATGACAAAAGAACAAGCTTATAGTACCCTGTCAGTGCATCTCCAATATTTAGATTGTTTTCACTGGAATGTTTTTTCCTTGGATTGACATTGACTTTCGGTGGAATTTTTATAACCTCTTTACGATATAAAACCAAACATTTCGTAGTATATTGTATGAAATTGAGGTTAAAGGGACTTCAATCTGATTAAAATTCAGATCTATCGTAACCCGCTTATTCGTCTAACAAAATCATAGATCTATATTTTAATTGCACTGAATGCATTTCTTCTGTGTACGAGAGCTTTCCAAGGTATAAGACTTACCGTTTTCATAACTTTTGTTCTGTTTCAGGTCCATTAGCCGGACTTCTGAGTACAACGTATTCGTTTCGGGTTGTCACCTTTATTGGTAGTATTATCGTTGGTATAGGGATTACCCTCAGTGGTTTGACAACGAATCCCGATATTTTATACGTCACCTACGGTTTAGTTGCAGGTATGTGAAATGTCCAGATTTCATGAGTAATTGTTGAGATAGACAGCATATCATATGAATAACAGGTCTAGAAAGAATTAGATAGAATTTTCGTTTAACTTAATATGATGTTTTCCTGGTTTTTGTGTAGTCTCACTGATCCGTACCAAATTAGCTTCTTATTATTACACGCGTACAAACATATTAAAATGCCGGTTTAAACAATACAAATTCTTCTAGCAGGGACAATAGACCATTTTCATATTACCGACTTTTAACACCGAATTTTATCATTTTTCTACAGGTTTCCTTTTCTGTGGCAGGACATTCTGGTACTCAGTCAAGTAGGAGCAACTAAAAGAAGTAAACCCAAGCTTACAATCGTTGCAGTTTTGAGGAAAACATTAACTGTTTCATATGTTCTGTACACGATGAAATCATCGAAAAACAGATATTTTTTTCCCAGAATTGAACCGATTGTAAGCTTAATTTTACTTCTTTCAATTGCTCCTAATTGACCGAGTACCTGAATGTCCTTCCACAGAAAAGATAATCTGAAGAAAAATTATAAAATCCGGAGTCGGTAATATACCTTGACCTTTTCCATCCATTAGCAAGACCGTTGGTTTAGCGTTAGGTTTAAGGATATCCGTTTGACCATGAAGGTTAAATAAATAATTTTGAAAATCCGATCTTAGGGATGTTCGCTTCTCTTGTTTTTGAATTTTTGCCAGATATTCTGAATCCACTGGTTTTATCCATGTAGTGCCAGTAAAAAAATTTGCCCACTAACCCCTACTTTACTTTTCATAATATTATCACATATAGTTTAAAAGGCAATATTTGAAAATATTATAAAATCCTTGTTATTTTTTTATAGTTTTTATAGGAAAAAAGGTGCCAATGTTAAATGTACGAAAAATCTAGAGAGAATCATTTCCCGCCAAATTTCCAATGGCTTATATCTCGAAAACAAGCACAATGGACCCTTAATTTTTTTCTGCTATTTTAGTTTCTTTATTTATATACAGTAACTATCAATTTATAACAGTCTTTTAAAAAGCTTGTTATTTTGAAATAGAGTAGCGAACATCCTTAAAAGGGACTTTCAATCCATGAGATATTTTGGGAGAATGTCGCAATCTGTTATAGAAAAGTACTTCTTGGGGATTCATAGGTAACCTTTTATCAGGCTGGATTTACGATCCTACCAAATACATTCTTATAATCTCAGTGGCATTCAAACCTATTGGCTGTGTCCACGGTTCAAACACTTTTCAGTTTCTGATATTAAATTGATATTATGCTTATCTAATTGATTTTGATTCCTAATTTGCTTCATATATTAGCCACTGGATGTTAAGTTAGCTTAAAAGAAGTCTATCAGAACAGATTATATAATTTTAATGGATGTAATCTCGTAGTCTCATGTGATATGCTAATATAAACTACCCTCCTAATGTCATGTAGCGCTCCTGTCTGAAGATGTCAAGAACCTATATAGAGTATACTGACCTTGATAAAATACAATCATAAAACAATACACGGTACCGCTATATGTAACTCAAATCATAATAGAGAATGCCTTTTAATTATGATTGATTGGGAGTTTACCACTATCATGTCTGTTATTGTTTCGATTTATCGGAAGACAAGAAAAACAGTAATTGTATTTAGCAAACCGAGTTAGCTCAGTTTAGCATATTAGACACATTGTACGTAACAACTTCAAATTTTTCAGAAGTTTGACCGTGAAAAAGAAATGAGACTCCTAAAATATCAAGATGATTATGTAAAGAAATAATTTGCTTATTTTCCAGGGATTGGCTTTGGATTTGTTTACTCGCCATCAGTGACAATCGTCAATTATTATTTCCACAAAAAGAAAGCTTTGGCAAACGGAATAGTTGGAGCTGCAAGTGGTGTCTCTACTATAATTCTTCCAATTTTGTATAGAACTGTTTTTGATGTATATGGTTTACATGGAGGTTTAATTGTTCTTGGTGGTTTTTGCCTAAATCTTTGTGTTGGAAGTGTAATATTTAAGCAGCCTGAATTATTTTTAAAAGTAAACAGCAAAAGTTTGCATAGTTCTAAAAACTTTAAAACTTCAGAAGGTATTCTAAGTAGCACAACTAATTGTTTCTTTGATTCCGTTAGAATTTTCAAATCAATACTAAAAAGTCGAACATTTATATTCTATGCATTTGCCTTTTCGTTTGCGATTCTTGGATATGTTGGCAATTTTGTGATTATTCCACCACATTTACGATCACGAAGTATTGAAAACTCAGACATAGTTAAAATATTAACAACTTCCGGTGTTGGAGAGTTGACTGGAAGAATTCTTGTTGGTTTGATAATAGATAAGAAATATGTAAAGCCGGAAATTCTTTTCACCGGAAGTATGATAATTAGTGGCATATTTTGTATTCTTTTTCCGTTTTTTGATGCAGTTTGGATGAACTATTTCTACTGTATATATTTTGGATTAGTCCCAGGATCCGTCGTTACGTTGATGCCAATAATGATAATATCAGCAACAAATTTACAAGTTCTGACACCTGCTTTTGCACTGTCACTTTTATTAAACGACACATTTTGCCTACTTGGATTTCCTTTATGCGGTAAGTATAGTATAAATGTACCCTGAGATGTGCCTTTATGTGGTAAGTAATTATATATTATATATATATATACCTTTAAATTTGCATTCCAATTTCAATACGTTTGATTTTTTAAAATGAAATTTTTTTGGGGATTTTTTTTATCTCGAAAAGTTTGCAATAATGTATAATTTATAAATATGACAATTTCAAAAATATTATTGATTGTATTTTTTTCTTCTTCCTACAATGAACCCGCAATGCGTGGACGGTCATTAAGTCTATGATATATTGGATATACTGGATAAATTAACTGTCAAGTCCAATATGACTAAGCACGCTAATAATAATTGACCGTGTTAGGATATATTTCGTGTTAAACAAACTGTGCAAGAGGTTCGTGCGAGAGAATGGACTATTTTCATATTATCGACTTTCGACTCCATACTTAATTTTTCAACAGGTAATCTACTCTGTGGTAGGACATTCTGGTACTCGGTCAAGTAATAGCAACTAAAACTGAAAAGTAAAATCAAGCTTTAATACAATCGGAGAAAACAGAAAACAGTTATTTTCCCAAAAATTGCACCGATTGTAAGCTTGATTTTACTTCTTTAAGTAGCTCTTACATGACAGAGTACCAGTATGTCCTACCTCAGAATAGGTAACCTGTCGAAAAATATATTATCCGGAGTCAAAAGTCGGTTGTAATAAAAATGCCACTGCAGATATAAACTGCAATATGCCAAATTAGTTACAAACAAACCATATTTCGCCATTCTGTTACATTAGCAAATGCAAATATTTTTATAGCTATTGAATCTCAAAAGAAAATCATTTGATGATTATTTTCTTAAATCAATAAACAAAAAAAAAACCTTCGGTTATAGAAATCCTAGTTTGAGATAAATGACAAATTTCTCAATTGCCAACTAATTGAATACTATTGTTCATTAAAAAAACAAATCGATCGTTAATGAATATACGTATTCCGATATTGGATGCCCTAATAAACTTTTCATTTAAAAAAAAAATACTTCACAAACGAAAAATAATTTCTTTCTATACAGTAATTAACCTTTAAAACAAAACCATAAAATGAAGATAAAGAATAGTCAATTTCATTTGATTATATAAATTATGAAAATAAACAATCCCTATTAAGCGTAAATTGCATTTGAATGAATATTTTATTTGCAAAAGCATATTAAATAACATGCTATGGCAATAAATAGACAAGTATATACATGGTATGACAAAACGACATATAGAAGAGAACAATACATAATATTGGCATGTCAGTTAACTGCTAGTAGTCTGTTGTTATTTATGTATTATTGTCATTTTGTTTATTTTCTTTGGTTACATCTTCTGACATCAGACTCGGACTTCTCTTGAACTGAATTTTAATGTGCGTATTGTTATGCGTTTACTTTTCTACATTGGCTAGAGGTATAGGGGGAGGGTTGAGATCTCATAAACATGTTTAACCCCGCCGCATTTTTGCGCCTGTCCCAAGTCGGGAGCCTCTAGCCTTTGTTAGTCTTGTATTATTTTTAATTTTAGTTTCTTGTGTACAATTTGGAGTTTAGTATGGCGTTCATTATCACTGAACTAGTATATATATTTGTTTAGGGGCCAGCTGAAGGACGCCTCCGGGTGCGGGAATTTCTCGCTGCATTGAAGACCTGTTGGTGACCTTCTGCTGTTGTCTGTTCTATGGTCGGGTTGTTGTCTCTTTGACACATTCCCCATTTCCATTCTCAATTTGATAATGTAATAAAGGTACAATTAATTCACAATACATCATCTAATTTTCCATGCATGTTTCAGATAATAAAACAGTTTAATTGTAATTGATTTAGATTTTGCTTGAAGCAAATGAAAAAGTTTAAGGTATTTGGCCAAGAACAATAATATTTTGGCCAATATTCTAGTCTCACAGTTCTGTAGGCTGGACATACAAGAACGAAGTGGTACCCATTTTCAACACAGCTCATATTGCAGCATTCACATAGACGCATATTTCTAGGAATATTTTTATATCGACCTAATTCAAAGTTCAATTTCAAAGTACTCGGTACCACTTCTCAATTTTGTAAGTAACTTACTATAATAATTAATAAAAAAAATTCAAATAATTCTCACTTGATTAAAACGTCTGTTTTGAGGTGTTTTTAAATACACAGTTTTTCACAGTCATTTAATGATGCATACCAAGTCTGTAAATACTGATCCTTTATACGAGTTTTTATAACATCTAGCTGTATGTTTATATAATTCTGTGCAGTCCAAACATAGTTCATACCAAGATTAAACAATAAATCACGAACACTAGAAACCCAGTTCTTTCTACCATTGTTTGCATCTTCTAATAAAAGTTGATAAACATCATAAACAATAGGAGGCTTATTTACAATAATATGAAGCCATTATTTCAAAATAATTTGTTTTCTTGAGAGATACATAGGCAAATGACCTAGTTCACCACATAAAAAACTTAAAGGAACATTTTTACCATTTTAACAAATCTACAGAAACGGTTGTGAATTTACTCTACATCATTTGCACGGTGAAAACCCTATTTCAGATACATGATAGTTTAATACGGAACCAACCATATTATCAAAAAGTAGACATTGTTGACTTGTGGATAAAAACACATGTTTTCAAGAGTTCAGAAGAGATGATAGCGCTCTCGATCCATGTTGAGATAATCTTTTTTGAGTATGTAAGAATTATCCATTATAATGGAGTAACATACCCAAATACACATAAGAGTTCTTTACCGTCATACATGAAAATGTAGCTACCTGGCTGCCATCAATATCTAAAACAACAATTTTGGTTTTGTCTGTATTTACCTAGATGTTCCATTTTTTACAATAGATTGATAGACTATCTAATAATTGTTGTAACTTTTCGGGAGACTTACTAAACTAAACTTATTAGGAACCTGATGTTCAGTTGTTGTCGTTTGTTAATGTGGTTCATAAGTGTTTCTCGTTTCTCGTTTTTTATATAGATAAGACCGTTGGTTTTCCTATTTGAATGGTTTAACACTAGTCTTTTTTGGGCCCTTTATAGCTTGCTGTTCGGTGTGAGCCAAGGCTCCGTGTTGAAGGCCGTACTTTGACCTTGGTTTACTTTTACAAATTGTGACTTGGATTAAGAGTTGTCTCATTGGTACTCATACCATATCTTCTTATATCTATTTATTGAAATAGGAAGTGTTATGTCCCTCCAAAAAAATAAACATACATGGCTAAGTAAACAGTGCTTACATGTACAAGCGTGAATTAATAGGCTGAACATTTTTAAACACTTCATGAAAATCTATCAGTTGTAGAGAAAAAATATTCAATATTCACCAAAAGCTAAAATTTCAGCTCTGGTATTTACTTGCATTGTTTCAAAACAATGCGAACTGTTACCTTATGAACTAGCACGTTAAAAATCCAGCTCAGCGTGTCGGCCTAGTACAAAGCAGGGTTAAGATTGATATTTACATTAACAAGTTCTCGTCCTGAATATGCATATTAATTTGCCTCTGGACGTTAAGCAGCCATCCATCATCATCATCGTCATCAAAAAAATCAAATCAAATCATCTTGCTTTGTCAAAAAAAAAATAGAATTCTATCACTGACTAAGACGGGCTTTGTGGATAAGAACGGCCATGGGGACATGGCACGAAGACAGTACAAAACCGCCAAACGCAACACACAAAAAGACAGCAAAAGCATACATGTCCTTGAGTATACAATAAGCTAAAAAAAAAAACGTCGATAAATAAATTGTCTTATTGAGTAAATCAAAATACAAAATTTGAAAAATACTCCCCAGTGGTAAATGTACTTCAAAAACTTCAACAAGAAGTCAATTCCCGATCTTTAATTATTTGTTTGAAAACCAACTTACTTCATGATATTGAAGATACGATCAGGGGTATATATATATATCTACATACATATTATCGGTACTGACATTGTTTTTTTTTAAAAGTAACTAAATATATATGTTATATAATTAGTGTGAGGTCCATTTTCACTGAACTAGTACACAATTTTATTTGGGGGCCAGCTGAGGACCACCTCCGGGTGCGGGATTTTCTCGCTGCGTTGAAGACCCATTGGTGGCCTTTGGCTGTTGTTTGTTCTTTAGTCGGGTTGTTGTCTCTTTGACATATTCCCCATTTCTATTCTCAATTTTATTACAGTTATGAGAACTCATGATCCTACATCCTGTCGATACTGTTCACTTACATTTTGGCATGGCACAAGGTCCTGCGTTTCTCAGACTGTTTGTGACGTCTTTACACTAAATCTGTTCGATGTGTACTGATTGATACTTTAGTCTGGGAGAACATGACTTATTCATTAGTTGTAATTTGTTTTGAACTAGCTTTCAGTAACTGCCAGTAATCGTATTTCTGTGCTATGCGTCTGTTGTTTTTATGTTAGTTATTTTTGTGCATCGATCGATTTTTTAGATAAGCCAATTGCAAATGATGTTTACCTTTGTGCTTATGTTGTGCTGCTAAACCAGTGTCCCAGATTTGGGGAGGGTTGATCGCCCACAAACATGCTAAACACCGCCACATTATTTATGTTGGCTGTCTAAAGTCAGGAACCTGTAGTTGGTTTATGTCTGTTATGTTTGTTTTACGAAAATTGATTTGTTATTAACTAGGCCGTTAGTTTTCTCGTTTGAATTGTTTAACATTTTTTATGTCGGGCCTTTTATAGCCGACTATATGGTATTTTTCTTCATTGTTGAAGGCCGTACAAAGACCAAAAAATGGCTTACTACCACTACCTTTTAACTCTTGTGTGAATTTGTCTCATTAGCAATGATCATACAACATCTCCTCATGTTTATATAACATACAGGTTATCAGATCAATTATTTAGTGAAATGGTTTGAACTATTGCATATATTTTCTGTGCCAAAAAGGGTTGAAACCTTTGAATGTGAATGACGCCAAACTTTGATAATCGAATCTAACAATATGGAAATAATTAGTCACATGTTTGCTTATATAAGTTTTTGGAGAATAGGAATCACTAAGATGCAAATTATTCAGTTGCCCCAAAGTTTCCAAGTTTAAAGTCTGTTGTTTTCTGGAAAAAAAATACATGGAGTTATACCCGCGATCGAGCTATATTTCATACTATTGCAGTCTATCTCCAGATACGTAAAAGTCAACGTATCTGATACGATTGGATACGTTGTAAATTGACCGACTTGACGTATTAAAATTTCTTCTGTTATAAGACAATCTTAAATTTTAAACTGTCAAGAATCTCACGTTGCATGCTGGTCCGAGGACACAGTTATCGTCATTTGAACAAATATATAAAGTAGTGATTTGGTCCAATTGAAAAAAAGGTAAACAATTAATATGTCTGAAGCTGTTAAACTGAATTATAAACCCCTTAACATAGACTTGTCCATATTTTGAGTTAGAACTTGTAGACTTTTCTATAATTTTGATATTATTTGTCCTAAAAGTAGTACACTACACTGTAAAAATCTTTTTAAGGTAGAGCTGGTGCGATTTTTATGTTGAATTTATTGTCTTAAAGAATTGCACTACAAAATAACTGTGTGCTCGGGAGTGCTTGTCTTTTTTTTTCTATCTTTGACACATATATCCGGTTCCGGTTTACCATGGTATGATATAAATAATAAGAAGCAGCAATTGACAATCTAAGCTTCTGTATTTTTTTTTCTTCTTTACAGGTTGGTTAGAAGACATGACAGGAACATGGGACGCGTCATTTTATTTTCTTGGAGGTGCACAAGTAATGGCGGCTATATTTGCTTATACTGGTTTCTATTACTATTCAAAATACCAAACTAAGGAATCACACAATCCAGAAGATTTAATACTTTCTACAGATGACGACAAAGAGAGCATTCCCATGATAGAATAATCGAATGGTATAATGCCAGAGCGTTAACAATTATGATTAAGTAAATGAAACCTAAATAATTGAAATCGAATTTTGAGAAAATTGCAGTGGTCTTAACAAAAGCTAAAAGAAAGGCGAAAGATACCAAAGGGACGTTCAAACCCATAAGCCGAAAATAAACTGACAACGCTAAAAAAGAAAAGACCAACAGACAAACAACAGTACACAAAACACAACATAGAAAACTAAAAATAAAAGACTGAGCAACATGAACTCCACTAAAAACTGGGGGTGATCTCAGGTGAGTCGGAAAGGTAAGCGACAAGGGTAACCATTACAATTTATCACACATTAAAATTGAAGAAGAAAAAAATCAAATGCTACCGCTGGACTTAAATTTCAGGGGATGCATGTCGTTTTCCTATTCTCGTCAAGTTTGATAAAACAGTTATTGTCTGAGATAACGTTGAACTAAGCAATACAATATGCACGGGAAAAAAATTCTGATTTAATCTTTCTTTCTTACTTTCGACTAGGCCAACCAAACCATTCCCAAATGGAATTTACTGACCCTGTATATATCGTATTAGGTCAGTTATATAGATACAATGGATAAGCGTGGATTCTTGAAAAAGAAACCATGAGCCCGGAGGGCGAATGGTTTGTTTTTCATGAATCTACGCTTATCCATTGTATCTATAACTTAAACTATTGTGTTAATATCTTTTCAAAATTAAAGCCTTTTCTTAATTAGAAGGTATTGTAAGTGAGTTTAAATAACCATGTTATCGTGTCAAACGATGCATTGATAATTCTCAGAGCACAATTAATTGGTTAACAAAATACAAATATAACACTTCTACCTTTAAAGATCTTTATATTATCAGGCATCTGAATATTATCTGTTTTTACAAAATAAGACATTCGAACTTATTTCTAATAGAATTGAGAATGGAAATGAGGAATGTGTCAAAGAGACAACAACCCGACCAAAGAGCATATATAAAGTATATATAATAAGTATGTTACCGAAATTTCTAGCACTCTAGGCACATCACGATTTTCTAGCATAGGAATTTGCGAACAAATATTTGTAAAATTATGTAGTAAAACAGATGAAATCATACTATATTTATACAACAAAAATTGAAAAATAGAATGTAAACATTTTTGTTTCAAACATGTGAAATAGCCAATAATAATAAAAAAAAAAACGGTAAAACACGCTATTATTACAAAAATATCCAATATAACATGCAAAATTAGAAAAAAAAAACAGAATTGGGACAACAGAGATAATACAATGATTCGAACCTAAACCGACAAATCCCTATCTTTTAACTCGTTGATTTTAAGCATGCTAACCTCGCGGCTACCAACTTATACTATACGACTGCCCATTGTGTATATATAAAGGTACAACCCTTGTGTGTCCGATGTTCATTTATATATATAAAATAGACATCTAAGTTGTAACCCATTGGTAGCCGAGAGGTTTCGTCGATGTGTTGATGTCAGTCATTCATAACACATTTCAAGGAAGGGTTCGATTCCCAGTGAAGGCATAAACAAATTACAAAAATTAAAGGTAAGTTTTTAAATTAATTCCATTAGTGAACAGAATTCAGTAAATTAGCCAATTCAAACTTAATGAAATTAGACACACAAAGGAAACAATTGAATATAATTTGGTGAGTCCATTTCAGCGGCAGATTTAGGAAGCGTTGATTCTAGAAAAAGAATCCACGGTAAATGAATAGGCTGACGTCACCACAATGGTTTAACTAGCACACTGTGTAACGAATTTATCTTACCGACTATCTAATATGGGTAATTTAGACGTAGTTGTAAACCTTGATATCACAATTTTAACAATATTATTTAGCGTGAGAAAATTAGCGTCTCTAAGACATGTTTTGGGGATAATTATGTCTGTTTGCAATGTATGTAACTTTAAGAACAACACCGTTTTTAAAGGACGTAACTCTATTACTAACCGTGTATTGTTTTTAAATAGGGACGTAACACCACCACTAACCGTGTATTAAAATAAAACACGCCCACTGACCAAATATTGAATATACACGGTCTCCGCTTGTTCGCTTTTAACCAATGGTATTCCAAGAAGTGTATAGGAGGTAAGAACAGACTTAATTCAGTTATTTGAGTTATTTGTATAATACAAAAACAACATTGTCACACATTTAAAACTCAAACTTCTATCAGGAGAATAACTATATAGATTCTACAGATCCGCATGTTTGCAGCAACTTGTATATCTCAGCTTGCAAATATGCATAATACTGTTTCAATGTAAGTATTAGTAGTGTTTTCCATTGGGAGGATCTGGATGGGGGTTCTTCATGTCTGTATTCTTTAATTTTTTATGCCATTTTTCTCTATTCTTTATACTTTTTGTCCATTATTCTCTATTCATTATATTTAAGCGCCTCATTATTCTCTATTCTTTATTTTTGTTTTTTGTCCATTTTTCACTATTCTTTATATTTTTGCCCTTTATTCTCTATTCTGTAAACCCCCTTCCGCACCCTCAGTTGTAGACAGTATCATCTAACATTCTTCGAAACAATAATCATTTGTATGAATCCTAAACTATAAATGTTTCATCTCATAAATAAATAGGAAAAAAACTATGTTAAGCAACATTTTTCATCTCGCATGCCAAGAGGGGTCATCAACGTGTACATGGTATTGTAAACATTTTGCCAACATTATTTCAAAGAGACAAACTCCATTATTTTATAAAAATATTTACTAGTATATATGTTATAGTAATGGTAGCCATATTAATTAGTTTTCACCGGTCATGAAAGGTAATGTTGAATCGTTACCATCAAAGAACTAATTCACTTTGACATCATACTTTGCACAATTGCAGAATACGGGATTAAATTTAGTATTTTACCCGTTATGCTTTATTTGTAATAATAGTTCTTTTTGTCATTGCTCAACTTACGTCAAATGCCTTACAAACGTACGTCAAATGATTCTAAATACTACATCTCGACTATTTTGTAATAATTTAATTTTGGATGTAACACGTCTTCTGATTGGCTGAAAGTGTTTTATCTATCAGCTAATAGACATAATTTTGTCATGTGACCGTGATGTCATCAACGTTTTTATCATGATTTACTCCTTTTTAGAATTAAATTATAAAGAATGACTGTAATATTTTTTCTGTCTATTCGAAATAACATAAAAAATGTGATGCACACTTTTAAATAAGCCGCTACGCGGGTTACTCAGTGTGCACCACATTTTTGATGTTATTTCTTCATAGACAGAAAAAATATTGCAGTCATTCCTTAATTAAATTCTGCTCTTCTGAGAGAGCCAAAAAAGAATTTCAGGAGCTTGATCTAAATATAAAATAATAGTTAGAGTGTTGGAAACCCGGGGTTGGAAATTAAAAAAAAACAACTCGAAATAATCAGATGATTAATTTAAAGTTTAAAGACAACAATCCAGAAACATGTAGAGATAAGACCTTAGCCATAAGAACATGAGGAACAAATAAATAGGCAACACAATTTAACCCTGCAAAGTATAAATTAACTTTACTCTATCAAAACTTGCAAGTGATTTAAACTTTTATGATGATGTACTCTTAAACATGTAATAATAACCATAATCTCATAAAAATGTCATTCAAATTATTCGTTTAAATTTTCAGTACACGTATTTTATCGTATTACATATATGTTTCATATTTACTGAACATTAATCTTATTATTTTAAATGCTAGATTTACCATCATGTATATATGGACATTTTAAGTACATTTCCAACCAAAGACGACACATCTCATTTATACAGGAAAATATCCAGTAAAATATGTTCACACGTTATAATATCTAAAGAAAGTGGTCACATATACTAAACGAAGAATCTATTTGATTCTGCTGTCAATACGTCAAGGTCGCAATAAAAATAGACCTAAATAAGTGCAGACAAGAGTTGTATGGATGACTTTACATTGGCATTGGATACAAACTTAGATATATGATATCTTATAAGAGGGTCTACATAAGGTCCTTCATTTCTGTATTATTTTATCTTTTAGGCCATTTTTCTCTATTCTTTATACTTTTTGCTCAAAATTCTCTATTCTTTATATTTTAACACCTCGCTATTCTCTATTCTTTTTTTTATAATTTGGTCCATTTTTCTGTATTCTTTATATTTTTTGCTAATCGTTCTCTATTCTGTAAACCCCAATCCAAACCCTCATATATGATAATTAATAAGAGGTCACAGTACCAAGTAAACACTTTTAAGTCATACCCGTCCAGTTTCTAATTATTTCCTTATAAATTCCAAACACAGGCGCTTAGGGAATGAACCCTCCCCCTTTTTCTTTTTTTTTTGTGTGTATTAATTCAGTTTATTTAGTAAATATTTTTTGATATTTCAACCTTTTTCCGCTTATCTAATGTGTTATTGTTCGTATTCATACGATACAATAATAACAGTAGTTTATATTTGTTGCCCCTCTATTCTTGTTTAGTAGGAAATAAGACTTACCAAAAATTAGTACATTTATGTTTATTGCAGATCCTTTTGTAGGAATGAAGTTTAAATTAATGTACATATTTAGAGACTATATCAAAAGATAATACATATGTGTAAAAAGATTTAAAAGTACATTTGGAAGTTTAGTATGGAAACATTTCATGTTGTGATCGTTACTTGCTGTACCCGATTAACTTTGTCCCATTTCTTTATGTTGTTCTTAGTACATTTTGTAAATCTGTTTACGTAAGATGTATTTAAATCTATATATAAATACAAGCGTCATCATTCGGGAAACCA